ACACTTCAGTCTTTCTGTTTATAGCTCATACTCTTTACTTTCACATTACTGTAAACTCTTCTGAGATAGTTTTACTCCTGTGCATAGGAAACTATTGAAGATGTTGAAGAGATGCTCCGAAACCTCCCTGGTGTGACATCAGTTCACAGTCGTTTCTATGATCTCTCCAGTAAATACTACCAAACAATTGGGAATCATGCTTCCTATTATAAAGATGCCCTGCGCTTTCTGGGCTGTGTGGACATCAAGGATCTACCAGGTAACTGAGGGCATTAGGTTCATGTTGTACAAAAGCATATTTCCCAGATGTGGCAGCTATGCTGTGCTTGAGGGTATAGCTCTCAGCACCGTTGGATTTATCCTTTTTTGAAGAAAAGGTGTGAAGATTTGTTTATACTTTAGTTTCTATGTCATTTTGTCTAGTTTTTAATTCAGATGACAACGGTAACTCCTCCCACCAGCACTTTTCCTTCTCCAAGTCCTTAGTGTTACTCTTGTCAGAGGTCTGATAGGAAGTGTAATGATGTCAGTACTTCCTGACCATTGCAGAGTGGAGCACTGAAATCCTATAGCTGAGATCTTTGTTCTCAAAGTAAAGCTCCACACCTATGAGGCAAATTAGAAGTTTTTCAAGGATCTGAGGGGAAAAAAAAAGTTCCAAGTGTATATTTAGAAAAATATTTCATCATATTTTATATGTATTGCATAATACACCATTGGAGATAAGGAGACCAACAACTCTGAAAAATACTGGTGCAGTTTTGATTTGTGTATCTCGAGGAAAGCATATTGTTAAAGCAACTAATACAATCAAGAAAGAGCTTACTGACCAGGGAACAAAAGACAAGTTAATTCTAATGTGTAGGGAGGCAGACTGAACTGACTCTTAAGACCTGAGCAGCAGTGCTACTTCTCACAGCATATGTAGGGTTGTGAATATTTAGGAAAAAAATAACAAATGAATCCTTTTCCCACAAAATATGCATGTGTTTGTCTCCTCAAATTAATCCTCTGTAATATAACCATTACTGAGACGACAGTTGCTTTCTTAAAGCCAAACAGCTGATTATGGTGACAGATGTGACTGTGTATGTCATTGCCTTAGTTTCAGAGCAGCAGGAGAGAGCCTTTACACTGGGCCTTGCAGGACTTCTTGGCGAAGGAGTTTTTAACTTTGGAGAACTAGTAAGTTGGCCATGAAGCAGATTCCTTGGTGGGGAGGGTGGCTGACTTTCTGCCAACTGACTTGTCTTTATCCCCACAGCTCATGCACCCTGTGCTGGAGTCACTGCGGAGCACTGACCGACAATGGCTGATTGACACCCTCTATGCCTTCAATAGTGGTGATGTGGACAGGTTCCAGACTCTGAAGACTGCCTGGGGCCACCAGGTGTGTCTCACCTATCAGAGGCCCTTGTTCATCTCTACATTTGTCCATTTTTTCGAATAAATGTTCATTTAGCCCCTTCCCTGTACACAGCAAGCACCTGGGAGGTGCTGGCATGTAGAATACCATAGTAGGCCAAGCTTTGCCATTGTAAAGCAGAGAATCAGATGATCATGGCGCAGCAGTGCTGCTGAGTGCTAAAGGCAGGGTGGAAGATACATGTGAACAACAGAATAGAATGTGCTCTTTTTCTGTGCTGACTTGAGAGTGGCACAAAACCCTTCCAAGGAGTGAGTGAAGAAACTGAAAAGAACAAAAGAAAAGGAGATTTACGTGTTTGTTGAAACAGAGGCCTAGGTCGGCATAAGCAGGCAGGGGTGGACATGAGAGAAGGGGAAATCGAGACAAACACAGTGGAGAAAGGAAGAAAACAGTCTGTCCCCAAGGAGTGGCAGAGACAGTACACATGGACCAGACCAGAAAAGAACTTTGAGATTGGGAGTGCACCAGAAGTGCTGAACAGTAAGGCTGTTCTTTTTTAAATGAAATTATTAGAAGCAAATATTGCTAAAATTTTTAACTGTGGTAGGAATTATGATCGTGTTCTGTTCACATACTTTTCTGATATTTTCAGTTTTCCCAAAGTTTAAAAGACAGTTGTAGAATTCATACATGGTGGAGTAGGGTAAGGTATAGGTGAAGGGACTATAAAGAGCCTAGAAACGCCGGATCCATCCAGAACTCATGTATTGTGCACTTGTCCCAGCTACTCTGGAGGCTGAAGCAGAAGGATCACCTGAAACCAGCCTGGGCAGCAAACTTAAGACCTTGTTTCAAAAAAAGAAAAACAAAGGAAAGAAAAAAAAAAAACTGTCTAGCCATAGCACCATAGCAATTTAAAGGAATAGAGGAAACTCAGAGGTGAATGTTCACAGTGCTTGTTGAGTACCCGCAGCAGTATCCCTATCAGAGGTGCCTGTCAGGGTTATGAGTTTTCCAATATTTGAATAACTGTTGAACTCTCCTGGTTTAATTTTTGCTCATTGAGAGCCCTCCAATCCACCTGCAAGGAGAAATGCAGGTCTTACAGTGTGTATTCTAGTTCTCACAAATAGATGATTTGTTGTTTTTGTTGTTCTATATTAATCAGTTGTCCTTTGGATTCGGTATAAACTGTTGATGTATAGTTATGCTCAGAGTGGCTACACTTAATGGCCCAGACCACCCAGGACCTCCTGGGACTCCATCCTTTCTTGATGGTGCTTTGGATCAAAATGATTCTAAATGCCTCTTGGTATTTGTGATATCAGTGTACATCCCTTCTCTGGATTTGAAGCTCAGGTTAGGCAGCCAATGAACATAAATGTAGGTGACATCTACTGTCTTTCTACACTTCACAGCCTGACTTAGCTGCCAATGAAACCCAGCTTCTGCGGAAGATTCAGCTGTTGTGTCTAATGGAGGTAAGTATCCAGGAGCTCCTCCTTTTCTGAATGAACATCTTCTATGCCCTACTCCCTATCCCCCTCCCTGCTGCCACTGCCTTTTCCAAGTTTGAATTTTAGCCCTTGAGGCAGGGCCACCTTCTTCACACCCCCACCCTCTCACCACCCTCCACCCCCCACCCCCACCCCACCCCCACTACCACCACTTAAGCTAAAATGCTCTCAACACAGCTGACCTGCTATTAGTCCCTCCTGGCCCATGACCAGGGTATGAGCTTTCAAGGAAGTGGAGCTTGAGTTTCTGGTTCCCTACAATATACTCTGGACCTGTGGGACTTGCCAGTGTTAACTGCCTGTTTGTGGAATGAGTAATAACTATTGTTGAAAATTCATGTAAAACTATTTACACGTTTAACCTTTTTCTCTAAGCTTTGAAAACTTGGAGTAAGATAAGACAGATACCAAGGAAATTTTAGTGTGTAGGGTACTAAAGATGACCTCTATTTTCAGAGCAAGTATTTACAAAAATATCATTAACAATCAGTTCTCTGACCATTTTTATTTGGAAAAATAGTTAAGGAACATCTTTTTTTCAGATGACTTTCACACGACCTGCCAACCACAGACAACTCACTTTTGAAGAAATTGCCAAAAGTGCTAAAATCACAGTGAACGAGGTACAATACTGGGACTTGAGGTGTTGGAGCTGAGACCTATTAAGTACTCAGCCACACACTGTCCAGGCAATGGGAAGGCATCCAGTCTTCGGAAGCTGTCTGGTTCAGCTATATCACGTGAGCCTCTCTACACAGGTAGAGTTGCTGGTGATGAAGGCACTCTCGGTGGGGCTGGTGAGAGGTAGCATAGATGAGGTCGACAAGCGAGTCCACATGACCTGGGTGCAGCCCCGTGTGCTAGATCTGCAGCAGGTGAGTTGGCTGGGCCCCTGGCTCACCTATATGGGGTTGGGGTTGTGTCTGGGTCTTGGTTTCATGTGGACTGAGGCCATGTAGAAGGAAGGCATCACCTGACCCAGATTTGGGAAGTGGATTACTGCTGTAGAATCAAGCATTTTTCTTCGAATGTAGCTTGATGTAGGTCTGCGGTCTGATCCCTGTGCTGAGAAGCTTACTGGGACAATACTGCTGGTTGTGCTAATGATAATGCCTGTTAATCTTAAAATTGGTACTCTGATCAAATATGTTCCTAGTTTTGTGATTTGAGCTCAAATCCATCTTATCTGTAGATTTTCTCTATTCATGGCTGTTCTTTAACTCAAATTTTCAAACTCCCTGTGATAACAACTGACTAGGTGATCCCATCAGCCCCAGCCCAGCTCTGAGGTTCATAGTGCTTTCCCCTTGGCCTGTGATCCCACATGTCCTAAAGCCTCTCTGGTCCTTATTTGCCTGCAGATCAAGGGGATGAAGGACCGCCTGGAGTTCTGGTGCACAGATGTGAAGAGCATGGAGATGTTGGTGGAGCACCAGGCCCATGACATCCTCACCTAGTGCCCTGCAGCACCACCCACCCTGCTCCACCCCAAGAGGCCTTTGTGGCCCATGAAACTCTCAGTAGCAGAGACCTGCATTGGTTTGGGGGAGGTGGACCTTTGAGGGAGTAGGGACTGTTTTTGCTTTGAAAGCAGAACTGTTGTTGATGGGGGCTAGATATGAGCAAAAGGCTCCTTTTTGTAGTGTCTCACCTGCAATGGCCTCAGGTGATGAAGGAGGGTAAGAACATGACCAGGCAGGATGTCCTCCACTCTTCAGAAGACACACACCCCAAGGAGGGTCCTCATCCACATCTGCCTGTGTGGACATCTTTTCCAATGTGGTACAAGAATGTTCCTATAATAAATGCCTTTGCTTTGTTCTGTCTGTGGGCCTAGCCTGTGTCTGAACTGGAATCTAGGACTGCCCCCTCCTCTCCCACCACACTAGGGAGGAGTAGGGCAGAACTCAGCCGTTGGCCACCCCTTTTTCCCACTGAGGTGCCTTCTCAGACACAGGCATCTGTACCCTTGCCACATAGCAGCATTCAGATAGGCACTCAGTGTGCCCCAGGGTCAGCATGAGCCAGCCAGAGGACAGGCTGATGCTGGGGTATACATGAGACCTCTCAGTTTCTTGGCCAGAAGTGGGAACCTGGAAGAATCAACAAGAGCAGCACATGGAAAAAGGTTTAATGTGATCTTTCAGAGCTGTGACTCATAGGGCTGTGGGGTCTTCATGCTATGGAGCTCTTCTTATAGCTCTCCAGATGGGACAAGATCCAGCCTGCAGGAACCAGGAAGCTGAGGAATATGGCTGAAATCCCCACTGCCTGCTCCTGAAGAGGAAAGCATACATGAATCCATTGGTTCAGTCCTAATGAGATGCAGATGCCCAAGGCAATAGAGAAACTGCCATACACACACACTTGGCCAGTTATCTGCATCAAGCACAGGCCATCTTCAGGCTTCTGTGCTGGGGTGAGCAGTCATGGAGGGGCAGTATCTAACCTTTAGGAGGGACAATCTAGGGGACCAGGAGGAATGGCCTTGGGCTCAGGCCTGAGATCCTTCTGACAAGCTGACCCTCCAGCAAAACAAACCCCTCTGTCCTTTGGTTACCTGCAGCTATATGTTGAAGGGTGCTGTGAGACATGACCCATGTCCTCAGCAGACAGTAGTCTAAGGCATCAGTCACCTCCACTCAGAGCTCTTGAAAACCTTCCTGGTTGGAAGGTTTAAGAGCAAATGTGGCCTTGGAACAGTGACCTTAGTCTGAATTTTTATTTTAGCTGAATGACCTTAAGCAAATAACCTAGGCATTAATTTATTTATATACTTAACAAAGGGACACTTCTGCTGATGGAGGTATAGGTTTCCACCTCTTCTGTCTCAGCAGCCCCACTGCCATGTCAGGCTGAGTGACAGGCCCTTTCTGCTCAAGGTCACCCTTGCCCTTTATTGGTGGTGACATATCCACTATGGCTGCCTTAGGAGTCTCTCCTGGCCATCAGATTCAACCATAGCTGACCTAGGCCCACTGTTGCCTCCCTTTCCCAGCCTGGAATTGTCCCAAACCCAGAGTGGTTGCTGCCGTCTCTGGGGTAGCTTACCATAGAGGAAGTGGGAGTTCTAGCTGGCTTTGCAGACACGTGGGCCTTGGAAACCACCCAGCATTTGAAGGGGACTTGGAGCAGCTGCACGGCAGAGGCCAACCTTAGCATAGCTCAAACTGAGCTCCTTCCTGAGTCTCCACTGGGTGCCCTGACTGTCTTCTGCTCAATAGGGCACTAGGGTTTTTTATAGTTGGAGGGAGAACTGCAGCTGTCCTCTCTTGTCACAAGGCTTGGCAGAAAGTATAGGGGCGTGGAAATGGGAGATGACAGTCCCAGCATGTTGACCCTGTAGGGCTCCCAATCCTTTGTAGTGGGTTTTCTGGATTCTACTCCACCAAAAAAAAAAAAAAAAAAAAAAAAAAAAAAACTTAAATGGAGCTGTTCCAAGGCAGTCGGGCTTCAAAACACAAAGAGACAGTGACAGATTCCCAAAGTGAACTTTAAATCTTGGAATATCAGCAACAACATTATGGAAAGCTTCTGTAAGACTCTGTAGCTAGGCATGGCAGCACACACCTCTAATCCCAGCACTCTGGGAGGTTGAAGCAGGAGCATCAAAAGCTATACCCAACCCTGGGCAATTCAGTGACTTAGCAAAACTGTTTCAAAATAAAGACTAAGGGCTGGGGGTGTAATTCAATGCAGAGGCCCTGGACACACACACACACACACGCACACACACACAGTCTAATATAGATTCCCAACTGAGCCCTGAGGCTTCCTACTCTCAAACAATGTCCTCCCCAACAGCCCTGTGTCCCGGGAGCCTACTGGCAACCTGAGCAGACAGTCACATTTCTATGAATAGAAGTTGACCTCAAGCTGCAGAGAAGCAAAATCTAAGTTCAACATATGTTTTCTGAGTGCCAGCAGGGGGCACTGTCTGACCTCAGACTGAGTCAAGACCCTCAGGGCTATATGCTGGGCCCTCCAACTCAAGTATTCAGGCCACTTAGCAGGCTCCAGAGCTCCCAGTTGCTCTTGCTTCTGCAGATAGTGGGTTTCACCCTTCCTCCAGCAAAAGGTACTAATATGTCTGCCTTCCTCCTCTCTACCGAGACTGTCTCATACCTTCTCAGTGTGCAAACCCCACTCCACAAGTTTCTGTGGGCCTACCTGCACTACCCTGGAACAACAGCCTTTGTCTCTGCCTGCACTACCCCAGGACAACAGCCTGTGTGTCTGCCTGTTCACTACCACCAAATCCAAAGGTCAGTTCTTGGACACCATCACTTGCCTAGCTCTCCTTAGTTGCTGGTTTTCCTCCCACCTTGTACAGCTTCTGCATAGCCTCCAATGGCCCAACGCTCCTCTCCAGACCTCATCTGGCCCTGGTCCAGGCAACCTTGATATCCTTAGCTGTCAGAGTCACAATTTCTGAATCTATTAACCACTGACCTCTCCCCACCTCATGGTCAAGTTACTGTGACCCTGCAGTGCTTCTTTCTTTCCCCAGTGTGCCTCCACAGAGCAGCAGCCTCTGCTCCCTCTGGAGCTCATATTTCACATCCAGCCATACCCCAGAGGATCTGCTCATCATCCAACAGAGCTACACCCCAGGGGACTGGCTCACCAGTCTTCTCAAGCCCAGCCTCAGATGTCTTCTCCACACACAAGGACTATGCTTGTAGAGTCATCAACTCCCTCTGTTCCACATCCTCCTACAGGTTCCACTCACCTTCTCACAGGGAGGTCAGAATGACCTGGCTTCCTTTTTACATAGAACACTCCACTCAGGCTGGTGCATTTGCTCAGACAGCATTCTTATCTTCTTGGGCATTTCTTAAGTTCATTGGGCTTTATTTAAATGCAATCTCCTCAGATATATCTTGCTCAATGGTCTGCTTTCCCTAGGTGAAATAGAAGCCCATGAAGGCAGCGATCCTGTGTGTCCACCAGTGAATCTTAGGGCCCTGTAACAGTCTAGCTTAGCAAATTTTTCAGTCAGTGTTGCACAGTTGTCAATGGATAATGGCTGAGTGAATAGATGGATATGTTGGATGGGTGGATGGCTTAGGTAGATGAATGATGGATGGATGGATGGATGGATGGATGGATAGTTGGTGAATTGATGGGTAAATAGATTAAGGAGTAGATAGGTAGATAAGTGGATAAATGAATAAGCAATGGATGGGAGGTGGATGAATAAATAAGTGAGTAGGCTAGTAGATGGATGAATGGCTAAGTAGATGGATGAATGAATGAATGAATGAATGCATGGATGGATGGAATGGGTAGGTGAGGTAAGTATATGGATAGATGAGTGGACTGGTAGAAAATTGGAAAGGCAGATGTAAGGGTAGATGAAATTTCCATCAGACACTGGACATTGTGATAAATTTCAGAATACAGAGCTGAGTCAGACATGAGGCAAAGCACTGTAGGAAGGCACTCCACCATCAGAATAGCCCATGACATTGTCAAAACAGTGATGAAAGCCACACCCCAGAAGACACTCTTTGTTTTCAGACAGATTGGTATGGGCCCAAGCACAGGATAACCACACCAGGCATGCAGCACTCAGCCTTATCCATGTCTGCACCCCAGAGTTGGCCCTAGTCACTGTCTTCATGAGGGACAATATTGCCCTTTTCAGTTTTTTTAGGAATGACAAATTGAAAATGTGAATTCATTTCACTGGGAAAATGACTTGATTTTTTCTTTCTTCCCTGGAAGCCAAATTTTCTCAAATATGGAACTCCTTCCTGGGCTCTCCACTGCCTGCTACACCAGGCCAGGTAGTCTTCCTGGAAGCCAAGTCCTGGGAGGTCAGACGAGGAAGGTTCCTGAATGTTATCTTCAACAGCACTGGGCTTCTCATGCCAGCCTCAGGCCGTGGGGGGCTCTGTCCACCACTAATATAATCCCTTCCGCCTGAACCTTTAATTACAGCCTTGGGGTCCAGCTCAGGATAAGGTGGTAGACCTGAGGTTTGTTCTTCAGGCCATTCCACCTGTCATTGCTCTTTTCATAGATAAGACCTACTGTTCCTATAGGCATTCCTACATCTCTGCCACCTGGCTTGATTAGGTGGGGCACAGGTGGCATAGAGGCCCACAGTACTCCAGGGCATTTGGCTTCTGAACAAGGAGGCACCATTGAGAGGAGATCTTCTAAATCCCCTTATGCCCAGGTAACCACCCCAGCTGTGTCCTTCGAGCCCCTTCCCATCCCTCAATCCCATCCAGATTTTTCCTGGCACCAGCCAGTCCTCCTTACCTCCACTCACACAACTCTTGTGCCACTAATTGCCACAGTGAGCCCTGCGCTTCTCCTTAACTTGAACATTGGTCTCCAGGTTGAGCCACTTCCTCAGATCACTTCTCTGCAGACCCCTACTGGCCCCTAATTCCAAAACCTGGGGATTCTGCCCTCTGGAAGCAGACCTGGGTCTGCTTTTCATTGGAAGAAAAACGGTACTCCCTAGGAGAAGGGGAAGATAGTCATGTGGAAGACAGCACAGGATGAAGGTACCTTGTGGTAGCCATAGACAGTGAATCTTGGAGAAAGCCCATCCTGCTTGTTTGGGACACAAATGCCTCCCCAGGTGTCTGGCAGATGGAGAGGCTCCGCTGCTGGAACCTGACTGCCCTCCCACCTCTAGAACATCGGGCCCACACATGTCCATACTCCCAGGGCCAAACCACATGTCACTTGCACAGCTGGAGGCCCGACATCTGAATGAACACTGTGGGCAGAGGGCACCACCTTGTGTCCAGACTGGGAAACACAAGATCTCTGGAAAAAACAGAAGCAGAGGTCAGCCCAGAATCAGGGACACAGGAAGCATGTGTCATGTGAACCACTGACCAGATCCTCTCACTGTCCTCTCACCACAGGAAATGGGTTTTCAGAGTATGGTACCTGGACCAGAAGCTGAGGGGTGTGCTGGGGTCCCTTACTGCAGGCACCAGATGATTTTAATACATACAAGTCTGGGAACAATATCTAAGTCACAAAAACAGTGACAGTCAAACTGGACAGTCATTCCAAAAAGACAAAAAGCTCACACAGGTTACAAGACTCAGTTTCTTCCATATATCCATAAAACCATGCTCCCACTAAACATTTCTTACATTTGCCAGCATTTACTGAAACATGAGTCACATACAGGCGATCTTGTGAAGGTGTAGTTTTGAACCCTTGAGAACTTGGCCTCCACCAGAAGCCTGGGCCACTGGAGAGGAAAGTGTTCCTCATTCAACTGTTCTGTTGGTACAACAGTGAATATTTGTCAACCCGGCAGGGCCAGAGTCCAGACTTAGCCACACATTACCCTGAGTGTTTCTGTGAGATGTTGCTACATGAAACTTCCACATGCATTGGTGGACTTTTGTCAAGCAGATGAACCTCGTGAAATGAATAGACCTCCTCTAGTCGGCTGAAGGCCTTAACTGAACAAAGACTGACCTCTCCTAAGCAAGCAGGAATTCTGCTTTCTGACACCAGGTCTGCCCATGTCTCTTGCTGCCAGCCGTGTACCAATTCTGGATTCTCCAGTTCTGCAATCATGTGAACCTATCCCAGAAAAAAAAAAGGTTTCTCTCATCTTCCCTCCCCCACAATACACACACATCGCGCAACCACCATACACAACACACCTTCTCTGCTGATCCTGTTTCTCTGCAGATTCCACACTGACACTTTGACAAACAGCCTAAAGAAAAAGAAGCTTTCTGGACTTTCCACCTCTACTGTGAAACTAACCCTTCATTATGCCTTCCTTCCATGAAGTCTGCTGTATTAGATGATTCCCAGTGTAACATGGACATATCTTCTGTTTTCTTTAGTTAGGGGCACTAGGAAGGCAGCTGGGAAGTTCTGTTAAGCAAGTAAGAGCTGGCCAGTGTGTGCAGTGGAGGAGCCAGATTCTGAATCCCATAACGGGCAGAGCTAGAAAAGTGCTCTGCCAGAGCAGATTTGAGTAGTGCTGGTAATCGATGACAAGAGATGAGAGGGTGTGGTGAGGCCAATGGCAGAGGGTGAGAACAGGGATCAAGAAGAGGGCAGAAAACACAGAAACTTCTCCAAGCAGAGCATGGCACGCATACGCAGTCTTGGCTTACACAAGGCCTCTACCACAAAGAAAGAAGAAAGGGGCCTGGTGACCTCAGTGATCAAAGCTGGGGACAATGACCGGACAGGGGTCATGGTGGAGAGGGGAACAAAGCAGCACAGGGAACTGAGGGCCAGGGTTTGCAGGGGCGCTGCTGTGATGTAGAGCTTCACTGGCTGGGTTGGCACAGAGGGTCACTTCCTGCCTTGTGGGAAACACAGTAAAGTGTCAGATCAGCTATGCCCCACTGCAGAAGACTCTCAAGTCTCACCTGGCTGGAGCTGGTCCTTGGGAAGGGTGACAGCCTTGTCCTCGTGCTCTGGTGAGCAATGATCAGGTACCCAGAGGCTGGACATGACCTGTTCCTCTCCACCCTCCCCTCCCACAAATATGCCCTACCCTGGACCTACCCACCCCACTGTGCTGGCCAGTAGGTGCTGGCTGCCCCATTAGGGAATGGCCCCCAGTCTATCCTCCATGTAATACTATTCCTACTGCTTCCCTTTCTGCTCAGCTCTGTCCCCTGCACAGTTCATTTCTGTGTGATCCATAGGTGTGTCCTGCTTATTTCTGCCACCAGATAGAATATACAGGGGCTCTTCTACACATAGTCTGATGGAATAGGACAGTGCCATCATTCCAGCCACCATAGCAAGCACTCACTATGAGTCAAGTAATCATTTATATAGTGAAATACACATAAAAATTTTTCACTTTAAATATTTTGACCATTTTAAGTGCACAACTCAGTGGCACTAATTACACTTTAACATCCCACAACAATCACCACTAATTACAAAACCCTTTGACTGCCCCAGAGGCCTCCTGCCCATTAAGCACTAACATATATCACTCCAGCCCTAAAAACCACTGTCCTGTTTTCCATTGCTGGGAATTTTCCTGTTCTGTATATTTGGTACAAGAAAATTTATACAATACTTGTTCTTTTGCATCTGGATTATTTCACTTTGCATGATGTACTCCTGTTCACCCAGGTTGCACTATTCCCACCACTGAGGACGCAGGCACCTGGAAGGCCACAGGGAGAGGGAAAGTAGCAGCCTCTGAGGTAGGGGGTTGGGCACTGGCCCTGTAGAGCCACCTGCTTGACATTAACTGAAAGTGTTTTGTAGATGTTCTTTATCAAGCTGTACAAGTTCTACTCTGTTTCTTGAGTTTTTTTTAAATCATAATTGGATGTTGAATTTTTCCAATGTTTTTCTGAATCTATTTGATTAGTTGATATTTGAATTTAAATTAGTTGTGGATATCTGGAACAAATCTCACTTGGTCATGAATCCATTCTACAGGTGTTGAATTTGACTCAACAATATTCTGTTGAGGAGTTTTGTGTCTATGTTTAGTATTGGTCTGTGGTTTTGTTGTTTTGTGTTATCTTTGTCTGGTTTTGGTTAAGGCATTACTGGCTTCAATGAATGAGTTAGGAAATATTTACTCTGCTTTTATTTTCTGAAAGATATTATAAAGAATTGTTATTGCTTCTTCAAATGTTTAGTAGAATTCACCAATGAAATTACCTCAACCTAGTATTTTTAGGTATTAGAAAGTTAGTGGTTGATTTTTATTTAGTTGTTGATTTTATTTCTATAGTAAGCATAGGCTTATTCAACTTACCTGCCTGAGTGAGTTTTAGAAGATTGTCTTTCTAGGAATTGGCCATTTTATCAAATGTGTAGGCAGACACATAGTGCTCCTTTATTATTCTTCTAATATCCATAGATTCAGTAGTGATGGCCTCATTTATAATTCTAATATTAGAAATGTGTTTCTCTCTCTCTTCCTCCCCCCCCCCCACCTGCCTCCCACTTTCTCCTTCTCTCCCCTCTCTGTCTTCTTAGTCTGGCTAGAGGCTTATCAACATCGTTTGTTTTCAAAAAACAACTCTGGGTTCTTTCATTTTCTCTACTGATTTTCTTTAAGTTTTATTGATTTGGGATCTATTTTTATTATTTATTTTCTCCTGCTTAGTTTGGATTTAATTTGGTTTATTTTCCTGCTCTCTTAGAGTGGAAGTTAAGACTGGACTTTAGAGCTTTCTTTTTTTTTTTAGTATGAATATTGGAATATTATAAATTTCCCCATAAGAACTGCTTATTATGAGTCCCACAAATTTTGTTAACTTTTATTTTTGCTTTCATTTAAACTTTCCCACTTTTGTTTAATTAAAGTATACTTGTTTAAAGCTGGGTACATTGATATATGCTTATAACCACAGCTTCTCAAAAGGTTGGAATAGGAGGATTGCAAATTTGAGCACAGCCCAGGCAACTTTCAACTTAGAAAATCCTGTCAAAATATAAAAAATAAAAGAGCTAGAGGATATAGCTCTGTGTAAATGCCCTAGATTCGGTGCCCATCCCTATACCCAGCCAAAATTCCTCGGTGCGCCCGTGTCGCAGATGCTGGCGCAGCCACAGCGGTTTTTGTTCATTTTGGACGGCGTCGACCACTTGCCCACACCGGGGCCTTCAACACGCACCACAGCCTCTAGAAAGCTGCACCGCAGCCTGTGCGTGTCCCAGTGCGCCAAGGTGCGCGGCCCTTCCAACAAGGACAAGAAGTACTTCTATAAGTTCTTTTGAGAGGAGCGCAGGGTCAAGCGCGCCTATCGATTTGTGAAAGAGAACAAGACGCTGTTTGCCCTGTGCTTCGTGCCGGTCGTGTGCTGGATCGTGTGCACTGTACTGCGCCGGCAGCTGGAGCTGGGCCGGGACCTGGCACGCATTTCCAAGACCATCACTTCAGTGTACCTGCTCTTTCTGGGCAATGCGCTAAGCTCTTTGGGTGCTGAGGGTCCCCACATGCGGGAGCAGCTGCACAAGCTGTGCCACCTGACCTGCAACGGGGTCCTAGGATGCAAGGCACAGTCCTCCGAAAGGTACCTGGAGCACCTGGAACTTCAGGGTTCCGATGTCCAGCACTTTCTTATCAAGAAGGAGCTGCCAGGTGTGCTGGGGACTGAGGCGATCTACCCAGTTCATCTATCAGAGCTTCCAGAGGTTTTTTGCAGCACTGTCCTACCTGCTGGAGGATGAGGGGCATCTGAGGTCCCAGTGGGCGGCCTGGGGACACTGCTACACAAGGGTATCAAGGGGCATAGCCACTTCACGCTCACCACACACTTTTTCTTTGGGCTGCTGAGTGTGGAGCATGTGCAGAATGTCTAGCACCACTTCAGCTGTGTGGTCCCAGTGCAGGTGAAGCAGGATGCCTTGCAATGGGTTCTGGGGCAGGGCCATCCCATGGTAGTAGCACCAGAGGGAACAAATGGGATGGAAAAGTTCAAAGAGGAACTCTTGGAGGAGCCAGAGAAGGAGGAAAAAGAGGAGGAAGAAGAACCCAACTTCCCTCTGGAGCAGGGCCTGGCACATAAGGATAAGGCCTTTATGTGCCAGGCCCTGTGCAGCCTCCTTGAGGGGATATTGGAGCATGTGTGCTTCAGCCACATGGATCTCAATGTATGAGCTATTGCATTCAGTGCTGCCCAGCTAGACAGGAGCTGTGACTGGTCAGCTGCAGCCTGGTGGCTGGGCAGGAGAAAAGAAGGAAGAGGAGCCTGGCAAAGTGTGTTAAGGGATGAGTCTCATGGTCCCACAGACAACAGTGTGTGCCTGTGCACTGGTGCCTCTTAGTTTGGAGCACATGACCAGACTTGGTGTCTACTCCCCCAAATGACAGGAGAACCTTAGGACTATGCCGGTCTACCCCTTGCAAGGCAACTTCCCAGCATTCATCTTTCCCAGGGTGTCCTTACTATACCCACCTTCAGCCATCCCCTACCAATGCAGACCTAGCATGGCAGCTGCCTCCTCCCCATCTACGTAAGTTCTAGAATGTACTATGTCCTCTGCCCTGAACCTTGCACCTGCTGTTCCCTCCACATGTAGCACTCCCTTTGCTATCCATTTTCAAAGCCTTCCCTGGCTGCCCCCAGATGACCTGGAATCTTGTGGGTTATTCCACATCTCTCAGGCCTGTCTCTTCTGTCACAACTTCAGGCCCTTCAAGGCAAGAATTGTGCTAGTTTGTTTGAACTTCACTCAGGAGCCATCCCAGGTGCTCACAAGAATATTGGCAAGGACTAGACCCAGGCCCCTGCAGAAGGGATGGAAGAGTCCTGGTTTATCATGGGAGTGACTGCAGAGGCAGTGCCAAGACCCAACAGATAGGCAGGAGCTCAGAAGGGATATAGTGGGCCACATTACTTCTCTCTCCTAGCAGTTCTCAAGCCACCTTGAAACAACTCTGGGTCTCCCCACTGCATGCACTCTTCAAGGCCATGACTGACCTGTAGTGTGGCCTGAGAAGCTTGACATGAGTGACTACAGCTTCTTCCTTTCATGCAGGGAGCTCAGAGCAGGATACCCTGTGCAGATCAGAAGGATGACCTGGGGAAACCTGAGGAACCATTAGGGCTCCATTCTGAGTTAGGTGATAATGAGTAAAGGGTTGGTGTGAAATGTACCCAGTTTCTCCCTCAGAGGTAAAGAGTTACAGTGTGCAGCACATGGAATGCAGTAGCTTTCCAACTGTAGTTAGCCATAACCAGTAAGCAGAAAGAAAAGAAAAAAGCAAAATCCACAAAACTGCGCTAACCACAAGAATTAGCTGACCAAAGAAATAATGACCCAATTAAGTGAACTGTGCACCTTCTCCATGGTGAATATCAGGTCACCAGGAAGCAAAGCAGTTTATGTGTTTGGGAGCAAAAACTGGCTAAGGGGCTCACAGACAGCTCTGGCTGCTTCTTTTTGGGTTTGGTTTTATTTTTGCCTTTGTTTGCTACTAAGGCTCAAATCCAGGATCTCATGCATTAGATCTATGTCTTCTTGGCCACCGGATGTTCCACTGCAAACTCTCTGACAGAATCTGCCAAGACCTCTCTATGACCCTAAGGGATGACAGACCTCCACCGTACACTCAGTGAGGCTGGTCTTAGTGTGCTGAGTGAGGGCCTGGCCTGGCCCCAGTGCTGGGTACAGACACTCAGATGAGCCCACCACCACCACCACGGGAGGCTGGAGGGACATGATACCAACCCCAGAAGCTCCTGAGATTAGCTGTTTCCCAGGGTGATACTGCCAAGCCTTCCAGTACCTGTGAGCCCTGTTCCAACAGAGCTCGACCCTCATCACCCGGGACCTAAGTGACTGTCACCTGCCTGGCCCCATGGTGCCCTGCCTGTATACAGTCCTGAAACACCCAGGATACAGCCTTCAGACCGTAGGTGAAAGCAGGGGCAAGCAGGCAGGGTGCTAGGACCCAGCCTGTCAACCCTATGGGGGTGGTTCTTGGGGCTTCCACAAGCCCTCACAAGACCTCCCAAGCTCCAACAAGATCTATAGGGCCTGGCCTAGAGAGGCCCCCCTTTAAAGCCCTAGACCACTTGGCTGACCAAATAGTATCCATAATACCAAATAATACAGTCTGGGTATCAAATCTTACCACCAATTAATCCTCCAAGAGCTGCTCATTTTTGGCAGATCTCTGACTGGTCATTTGTCCCTTTGGCATAGACAAAAGCATCAATTTTCTCACTGCCCCAGGGCCCTCAGCACTATACCCGAAGCCCAGGCCTTTTCCCTTCATGTGACCAGCCCTCTGTCTGTAGTCTGACATGTACAGTCATGACTGTAGTCTGGCCTCTGTGGAGCTGAGTGAGCCATCAGTGAAGGAGCTGAGGGCCGTGAAGACAGCAAAGCCCAGCCTGGCCATCATTCACCCAGCACTTGACAGCCACCCTGATCCTCCTGAGAAAGTCATTAATGCCCACTGAGTCCTCTAGCATGGAGTAGGTGGAGGATTTGGAGATCAGAGCCCAGAAGTCTTCCTTGCTCCAAAGGCAGGAGGTGGCCACAGAGTGGTGACCACCCTGGGTGAGAACCTTGGTGGCCTCGGTACACTGATAATGAATTCTTTAGTGGATTGTTTTTCATTGGTTTCTGTTACATTGGCTAAGCATCCCAGCACAGGACAGGGCTTTCACCATTCTGCCCACACCGGACAGGCCTCAGTCCTCAGGCACTACTGAAGAAACAGGTTCAGCAGCTGGCCTGGCTGTAGAAAGCAGACTTCTTGAGTGTCAGTCTCCTCTGTCAGGCTCTGCAGGCTCTTCCCATTCTTGGGCCCCAGACTGTGTGGAGAGTATTCTGGAGTCACTTCCCAAGCGAAATACCCTCCTTTGTAAATCCACTCTTTCATTCCCAAAATAGAAAATTCCCTGCCCTGCTAAGGCAGCAGTCTAAATAGAAGACAGATAATAAATATGTAGGGAATATGCAAACACAGAACAGTAAATACACATATGACAGAAAGTACAGTACTGTAGAACACAATACAGTGGCTGTACATCTGATACATAAAAACAACACAGTAAATATAGGATTTTTTTAATAGTACTGGGGATTGTACTCAGAGTCTTTATACTGTATTAAGTCCCCAGTCCTTTTTTAATTTAATTTAATTTTATATTTTATTTTTAATTTTGAAACAGAGATTCACTGAGTCACTAAAGTGGCTCACTTCAGCAAACCTCCTAAAAGTGCTGGGATTATAGGCAGGTGCCACTACGGTGGGATTTTTTTTTAACTTTATCCAGATGAGGTTTGCCATGTAAAAAACTCTGGCCTCAAACTTATGACCCCTTGCCTCTGCTTCCCGGATACAGAAATAGTAATATAGTAATCATACATGATGAACAATACATCCTAAGTACATATGTCGTACATAAACACATAAATAATAAAGGCTGTGACACATACCATGGAGAGAAGTGCAGTGCAGTGAGGGGCTGCAGAGTACATGGAGCATGGCAGATAAGGCCTGGGTTAAGGTTGGGAAAGCGCTCCACACACCCAAGAGCAAAGGGAGCTGGGCAGAAATGACCAGAGAAGAGGGCGGGAACCAAGGCAGGCCTAGTGAGCTTGCTGAAGCAGCCTTGCTGCAGTCCTCTGAGCCCACAGCAACGATCTGACTTGGCCTCCATGCTGGATGCCAAAGTAGGGAACCTGACAAACCAACCCAGGCACAGCCCTAAATGTAGATCGGGCTAGGCAATGCCTACCCCAGAATGGTGCCCGGGAGCCTCATGTGGATAGGGGTGGAGACCGGCTGGGACCCAAAGCAGAGGTGGATGCGGAGGCGGTGAGAGGCGAAGATGAGCAGGGATCCAGATCCCTGTGGGGTGGCCCTAGGAGGAAGCCATCACAGAGGCACAGTTGCACCTTCGCAGGTACCTGTATGGCCATAAACTCACTCCAGAGCAGCCAGGGGTCCCGAAGGAGGTACACATGCTGTGGACACCAGTGCTCTCAGCCCTGACGAAGAGACCAGGATTTGGGACTTCCTGACCGTGGTGGGTGGCAGCCAGATGGAAGCCCAGGCCTGCCTCACTGAGGCCCTAGCAAAGGGAAGAACAATGGGCGATCTTGACACAGCAGAGAAGTAGGATTGGAGAAGGCAAATAAATAGTGATGCACCAAATCCAACTGTGAAGACATGCTTGATAAATGCCATTTTTCAGGTAGGACCTGGTGTATCCTACCAGGCTCAGTGACACCTACAAAGCCTCAAGATGCGGCTGTGGGGCGCCTAGCTCAGCGCACCCGCCTCTGAGCCACGCCCCGCGTCACGCCAAGGTCAAAGTTGCCAGGCGCTCAAATTGGAGCCCGCTTGTTCGTATAGACAGACACCAGAGGGCGTCAGGCGACCGAGCAAAGCTGCGATGAATCCCGGAGGCCCCGCCGACCAGCGCGATTGCTCCCATGCTTCCTGTTTTGACCTCTGCGCTCCCGACCGCTGGATGCGAGTCCGCATGCGCTCGCGGCTTCAGCGCGCGGGCCGAGGGGATGGCCCACTTGGGTGGTTTCTTTCTTAGGGTCGCAGGTCTTAAGCGTGGAGACTCGTTTGAGATCCCGAAACCGCGTCTGGCTGGAGACCGTGCTTCTGGCGTTTTCCGGAGGCCTATGGGGATGGCGCGCTAGAAAACTAGGGACCCTCGCCCCTGTCTGAGAGGTCAGCTAGGCTTTAGGGAGACTGGGAGGCTGCAATCTGACGAAAGGAGGCCTGCAGTCACGGACCAGCCTGCCTGCCAGAGACGTCTATGGAGGACACCCAGCCGGACCCCACCCTGTTCGTCGCTCACTCTCTACCCAGGGACCCTCGGCTCTTGGCCACGGTAACCAACGCGTACCTGGGAACACGTGTGTACCATGACACGCTGCATGTGAGCGGCGTGTACAACGGGTCCGGGGGCAGTACACATCGGGCGGTCCTACCCAGCCCCCTCAACGTGCGTCTGGAAGCCCCCGCAGCGACAGACCAGCTCATTGAGACCTTTGCGCTGGACACCAACACAGGTAGCAAGGCGTGGTCTGGCCTCTCTCCAAGCAGGGGACCACACAGCCTCCCGGGATGTGGCTTCTGTGAGTGCCCTTCCCTCTCTCTGCTGGGCCTCCCAGGTCCCGTATAGATATTACAAAAATTCTGGGAGGCTCTTCCCACTTCACTGTGGGAAGAGATGCCCAGAGGTCCAGGGGGCCTAGTCCCTAATCCAGGGACGTGCAACAGCCTTGCACACTTCTTCTGGTCCCCTCGGCCCCTCCCTCCTGTCCCTGCCCAGGTTGACATGGCTCCCACTCCCACCCCTCCAGGCTCTTTCCTACACACCCTAGAGGGCCCCAGCTTCCAGGCCTACCAACGCATCTATGCGCACCGCACGCTTTCCCACGTCCTGGCCTTCAGGGTGTGCATTGCACGTGTGACCGCAGGGAATGGGCCGATCAGGGTGCTGCTGTGGTCAGTCTTCTCCCCAGAAAGCCCAGACCTGGACTTGCACCTGGGCCCTGACTTCCAGGGCTTCAGGTGAGCAGCGACCCAGATCCCTGTGGGGTAGCCCAGGAGGAAGCCATCACTGAGGCACAATTGTACCTTCGCAGGTACCTGTATGGCCGAACGCTCACTCCAGAGCAGCCAGGGGGTCCCCAGAAGGAGGTACACATGCTATGGACACCAGTGCCCTCAGCCCTGACCCTTGATGAAGGCGAAGAGACCAGGATTTGGGACTTCCTGACCGTGGTGGGTGGCAGCCAGATGGAAGCCCAGGCCTGCCTCACTGAGGCCCTAGAGCTGCAGGCCAGGGATTCTCTGTATGCCACCCATGCGCAGGCTTGGGCCCAGTTCTGGGAAGGCTGCAGTCTGGATGTGACAGGGCCCCTCGCTCTGCGCCAGGCTCTCCGTAGCTCCCTTTACTACCTGTTCAGTGCCCTGCCCCATCCTGGGACCTCAGGACCCATCTGCCATGGCCTCAGCCCTGGAGGCCTCTCCAATGGAAGTCAAGGAGAGTGCTACTGGGGCCATGTCTTCTGGGATCAGGTATGCATGGCCTGCACCACGAGCTGTGAGGGATTAGCCTGTGCCTCCCTAGGACCCAGGCAGTGGTTGGGGCAACATAGGTGCTGGGCAGATGGAGAGGCTGCCTGGAGGAGGTAGTGTCTGTCAGAAGGACGTGCAGGTGCAGGAGTCTGGTGGACAAGAGTGACCAAGAGGTTCCCAGGGGTCACCTGGTGGGTGAAGGGGAACCCACCCCTTGCAAGTTGGGCAGCAGTATGGGCCTGGAGCTTTCTTTGGACTAAAGAAGCCAAGGGGACTTTAATACAAGAGCAACAAAGACCTGCTAAATGGAGCTAGGTGGTGGGTGAGGTGTGGGAGCCAGAAAAGCTAAGGGCAAAAGGGAGGGGACTTGGGAGCCACTAGATATTAAGGGTAATTGCTATAGGGGAAAACTGGATGGGGAGCCCCTCCAGCTTCAGAATGGGGACATTCTCACAGGATCTCTGGATGTTCCCAAATATCCTGATGTTTCACCCAGAGGCTGCCAGGGCCCTCCTGGAATACCGTGTCCGAACATTGGGTGGCGCCCTGGAGAATGCCCGGGCCCTGAACTACAAGGTAAGGGGCCCACCTAGGGTCAGCACACCCTGAGAACAAAGCAGAGGTCATCATGCAGCAGACACCAGAGCACCCACTTCTCCTCACTCCACTGTGCATAAGAGATCAGGCCCCCTGGGTTAGAGTTAAGGACATTGGCCCATCCTCCTCCAGTCCCTCACATTTATCCTGCAGGGAGCTAAATTTGCCTGGGAGAGTGCAGACTCTGGCCTGGAGGTCTGCCCTGAAGACATCTATGGGACCCAGGAAGTCCACATCAATGGGGCAGTGGTACTGGCTTTCCAGTTGTACTACCATGCCACCAAGGTGAGGGCTTGCCAGGTGTGCCCCCTACCCACAATTCCCTGTTTGGGGTCAGTCCTGGGATGCTATTTTAAGGGGCATTCAAGAACCAGGGTGGGCACTTGGCCTGCACAGTGACACTCCCTGCCTTGGCCTCAGTATCACCTCCTGCTTTCTAGGACCTGCAACTCTTCCGAGAAGCTGGTGGCTGGGATGTGGTCAGTGCCGTGGCTGAGTTTTGGTGTAGCCGTGTAGAGTGGAATGCCAGTGAGAATAAGTTCGACCTGAGAGGTATGAGTCTGGGAAGACAGGTGGGGAAACAGTATGGTAGATGGGGTCTGCTGCATGATGTGCCATGGTGGATTCATGTGCCCAGGAGTTATGCCCCCTGACGAGTACCATGCAGGAGTCAGTAACTCTGTGTACACCAATGTCCTGGTCCAGAACAGGTCAGACTCCAACCCCTGGGTCTGCCTCTGCCCACCCTGAGCAGCCCTGGCTCAACCAGCAGTGCTGGGTCAATAGCCTGTGTCTTCCTCCAGCCTGCACTTTGCTGCTGCCCTGGCACGTGACCTGGGTGAGCCTATCCCTGATCAGTGGCTGGTGGTGGCTGATAAGATCAAGGTGCCCTTTGACCCTGAGTGGAACTTCCACCCTGAGTTTGATGGATATGAGCTTGGTGAGTAGTGCCTACATCCTCTCCCTACCCTTGACCCTGTGTCCAACCAAGCATGCCCCATCAGCAGCCCACCCTCTAGGTGACGAGGTAAAGCAGGCTGATGTTGTGCTTCTGGGATACCCTGTCCCCTTCCCCTTGAGTCCTGATGTCCGAAGAAGAAACCTGGAGATTTACGAAGCTGTGACATCCCCTCAGGGCCCTGCCATGACATGGGTGAGAACCTGAGGGGTGGGGCTGCCCCATGCCCTTCTTCCCCAAGCCATGGGTCTTAGCCTCATGCCTTCTTAATTCTGACCCCAGAGCATGTTTGCTGTGGGCTGGATGGAGCTGAAGGACTCATCGCGGGCACAGGGCCTTCTAGACAGGAACATCATCAATGCCACTGAGCCCTTCAAGGTCAGCCTGGTTTGAACCCTTGACCCACAGGCTGACTTCACCTGCCCCCACTCAGGCCCATGTGGTCTCAGCCTGGAGTTCCTCTTGACCTTGGGAAGGCAGCCAAAGTACCAGGCCTGTTATACCCTCCTGCAGGTGTGGACGGAGAATGCAGATGGGTCTGGGGCTGTAAACTTCCTGACAGGCATGGGAGGCTTCCTGCAGGCAGTGCTGTTTGGATGTACAGGCTTCAGGTGAGCACAGGAATGCATGTGGGTGGCAAAGAGGGCTCTCACCTTCTCACACAGCTCTCTCCACAGGATCACCTGTGAAGGTGTGACCTTTGACCCTCTTTGCCTGACGGACATCTCCAGAGTGTGTGTGTCTGGCATCTTTTACCAGGGGAACAGGCTCAACTTTACTTTCTCCAAGGAATCAGTGACAGTTGAGGTTACGGCCCAGGCATGGCCCAGGGCTCCTCAGTTGGAGGCTGAGCTATGGCCTTCGGGAGTTCAGATCCCCCTCTTGCTGGGTAGGTAGAGTCTGGGGTGATACAGCCCCAAGGTGCCTTACATATGCCCTCATCCCATGGAACCCCTCTCTCTGCAGGGAACCAAGTCTCATTTCCTTGCTCAGCTGGCCGGATACAAAGGTCATCCCCATAGCTGCCCTGAAGCTCTAGCCCTAAGTCTTCTAGAAGAGTGTTTTGAAGACCTTGGATCCTACCCCAGCCTCACAGTCTCTCCCTGGAGCTTAGCACCCAAAAAACCAGAGTGCCAGCCTCAGAGACATCCTAGGCCTCTCCTGAAACCACTACTGCATGCCCCCTTGCCAACCTTCCCCCAGCCTGAGCTCGTCCGGACATGGAGCCACACAGTCTGTTTGCCCTTGGACTGATTGTGACACCCCCATGCCCTCTGTGGTCCCTGATCTCTAGACTTTTCTGGTCACATGAGTGGCAGGGTGTGAGTCTGGGGAAAGGGTCATAGCCACCTGCAGAACCACCAAAGACTGGGTGTCAGGCCTTGGTGTGGGGGAACTTGAATAAAAAATGAATGGTTAAACTGTGGGGCAAAGCCACATGGGATCTGTGGAAAGTGAATGGTTAAACAGATTAGTGAAGCATGTGGTGTCTGGCTGTTGTCCTTCCCTTTTCCCCGAGAGAAACTACTTAGTCTTGAGACAGCTCCTTGCCCAAACTGTTTTTCTTCTGCTCCCCCCCACCCCCACCCCACCACTTATATGGGTCAGAGGGTTCTTGGTTTTGGAGCTTTTCCTGGGAGTCTTCATAATACTGGGGGCTTTTAGTGTTTGAACTAAGTTGAGTAATCATTCATCCCTCTCATCATTCATGAGTAACCATTCATCCCACCATGATTGCACACTGCAACACCCTGGTGTCCCTACTGTTTGTCTCTTCTTGATTCTAGAGCTCACCAGTCCCTGGCACATTGGAGTTGGCTGTGCAGCCCATCCTCTCTCACTTGCTGATCAGAAGGAAAGGGGCACTGGCACCAGAGGGTAGGGCAGGTAGACAGCAGAACAAGAGCCACAAGCTCCCTACTGGCCACCAGAAGGACAAGAGCCAAATGCACGTGGGTTCAAGGATACAGCCAGGGCTCTGCCTGTCCTCTGCTCCTAAGCCATTAGGCTCTAGATGTCTCATCCTAGATGTCTTCCAAGAGCAACAAGGTGATGTGGCATTTAGGATTGATACCTGGAGAGGCCTGCTGCTCTGCACTAAGCCAGTTTGAGAAATTAAAGGTTAGTGTTGACATAGCGTCCTCCACAAGGGACAAATTGCTGTCTTCCTCCAAAAGTAGCATCATATGAAGGATGGATTTTCTCTTCACCTGGGGTCAGGGACCAAAGTGAGTCCCTGGTGTCCCACTTCTTTGTTCTGCATTGTCACATCCCAGTTCTTTTCACTCAATAGACACTAGGCAGAGACCTCCATACACATAGAGGAGGGCACTCTGGGCTAGAGGGAGCTCTGGAGCTGGGAGCCCAGCGACCGATCCACTACTCAGGCTATACTGGCCTCCAGCAGCTACCCTTGCACTCTTGAGTTCTTAATACCACTGCAGTGGCAGTGTGTGGGATATAGAGGCCAGAGACTCATGGATACTGTTCATCTCCTGGCTACAGGGAGCTTGGGAGGTATGCTTGCTGGGGCCCCCAGCCACAGGGACAAAACTGTGGCTTGAACCCCAGGGGACTGTCATGTGCTGTCCCTCATCTGCAATGCCCTGATGATCACTGTCACTGTGGGGGAGATGGTGCCATCTGCTGCAGGCCTGGGCAGGGCTGTCCTGGCAGGAGTGGGCATTCATCTTGAAGGTCCAACAGTAGGCTTATACAAAGGTGTCAGAATGGGGTGGCAGGTGGCCCTGTATCCATGGGACAGTGTAACCTGGTGCTTGCTACATGTATGGGTCACCTCTGCATACCATCCCAGGGCATGTGTGCTAGCATGGCTAACAAAGGTCCATCAGCCTGCCCAGGAGAATAAGCCTGGGCGGGGAGGGCTGCACCAACTAGACTATTGGCTTTGTCCTCAGCACCTATCCCTGCACCACCATACATGGGGGCCAGCAGAAGACCTCTTCCCTGGAGACTGACCCCTGCATCCATCCTCTTTGTCCAGCACAGGCTGGCCCCTTCTTAAAACAAACCCAGGCAGTACGCTATCCTCACTGAGGCCCAAGCACAGGTCATACGTTGCCTGTATCCTTGTTTGGCAGTGGCATCTCTCTATCTCCAGCCCAGCCCCCAGAGTACCCTGCCCTTGAGGGGTTCGTCGAGGCTCCAGCTCCAGGTTTGTCATCAAGTGGAAGCTGTGTGGAGTTAACTCTTTCTCCAGCCCTGGAAGATCTATAAGCCAAAGGACCACCCCCCAAGAGAAAAGGGACTTGAGTGGGACTCAGAGTCCCAAAGCACCTTTCAGTAAGACCCTTGGGATGAGCTCACCCTGCCACTGAGCCACAGCAGGATTGGGGCCTCATCTCAACCACAAAGGGCTGTGTTTGACAACCTTTACATGATGGATCCTGCAGTTGGGGGGTGGGGAGTTATGTGGTAAATCAAGCAGGGCATCCCCAGCACTAGGGCTTAGCAGATATCTTGCACTCTGTCCTCCATTTTGCTTCTAGAGTGTTGGGGAGGGAACTTGCATGTGGGCATGAAGTCTATGTGACCACATGTTGGGGAACCCAGTACCCACCCCACCTGGGAAACAGGCCATCTACCTCTCCCACTTCCCTTGCTGACCCTGGAAGAAGAAGAGCCTTGAAACGTAGAGATATCATTAAAGGGCAACCAGTATGTGGGAAAAGAGGGTCAGTGAGGCAGCAGCGTACACAAGAGGGAGTGGGCCTCATGAATGCAGGACACACCCAGACATTCTGGAATACATGGCACCAAACCACAGGGCAGCAGGGATCAAAGGCCTGAATTCCCAAACTTCACCCTAAAATACTCTGGCACCTCCACCCCAGAAGCCACAGGCTGCCCTAAGTGTAGGGGACAGTTAGCGAATAATTGGGTGGACAAAACCCAGCAAGTAGAAGTTGGTCCAAGAGGTTGAGCTGTGTGGTCCCTGTAGCAGCTCCCATACACACAGTCAGCAAGGAAATCTCAGCTGTCTGGTATCTGGTACTTTTAATTGCAAACAGAAAATGAGCCCAGAGAGTGAGGGACTGGGAATCCTTACAGATGAGCTGAGGTCCCTGGGGTCTGAATGGCCAGCTTCAGATGACCAGGTTGAGACAGGGGTGCCTCCAGGGTCACAGTCAGCCAGGGTTTGGGACCCTGTCATAGGGTAAAGCTCCCTGGGGCCAGGGTTTGGAGGCAGGGTGCTCTGGTCCGGAAAGGGACTCAGTCATAGTCTGCATCATCAAACTTGGTGCTGAAGAATGCCGCAGAGTCCTTAGCCAGCCGAGATAGGTGCAGGGCTCCAGTCACCACCAGTCCCAGGAGCAGTAGTGGGGGAACGAGTGTCCACATGGCAGCCAGGATATTGTAGCACTTGGCTCTGGAGCCATAGCGTCGGGCTGCCTCCAGGTCCCCAGCCACCTTCTGGTCTCGGGCCTGTGAGACAGCCACAGGACTAGTCACTATAAGTCCAGGGGACCTGGCACAGGGCCTGTCTACCAAGATGAGAACCTGGGTGAAGAAGTATGGCCCAGGGAACACTACCTGATCAGGGCCCCTTCTCTCCTTCCCCATAAACTGACACAGGGCTGGGCCTCAGTGAGGTCAAAAGTATGTGGCTTGGGAACCTCAGCTGCAGGCCCATGGCCATCAGATCAGCTCTTCCCCCACACCTACCTGTGTGCAAAGAGGATTCACACTGGAGCCAAGAGGCCTTGGTTCACAGTGGCCAAAGCATGTGGAACCCCAAAGTGGACTCCACCCTCCTGGGAGAAAGAAATCCCCACAAGAGCAAACACTCCTTTTGTGATGGCAATCCGATATAATGGAGAGGCTTCCCACATTGGCCCCCATGCTAATAATCGCCTTCCAGGAACACCACTCACAAGATTCTGCCCATGGAGCCCCTCCACTACCCTTCCCGAAGCCCTCTCCCTACTCCTGGAGTTCCTTCCCTCACCCCAGATGGAGTCTCCTTTCCCATCTTCCACGGAGGCCCACTTATGCCCACAGCCCACCTTAACAGAATGCACCAGTGCCAGGAAGCCAAGGCAGCACAGGTTCAGGTAGATTGTGCTGAAGATGGACCAGATCAGGTGGTCATGGGGTGGAGGGCTTGGTGCTCCCAGCCCAAGGGCTATAGGGGCAGCACCATCAGCTTTGCCTGGTGTCAGGGTCCGGGGATCCTCACGGGGGAACGACGTGTCCATGGGTTCCAGCGCCGTCTCGGTCACTCAGACTGTTTCCAGGATGGGTGCCTGGCTTGCTTATAGACTTGCCCTGCTGGCCAGCTCCACCCACTAAATGGATCCCAAATTACAGCCTGGGTCTGCAGAGCAAGGCAGCCAGCCTGGTGCCTGTATCCCTTACTCACCAGGAAGACCCCACCCAAAGCCCCTGGGACACAGAATTGGCTTCAGGAAGACCCACAGAAGCTGTGTAGGGCTGGAGCTGCAAAATACCTCTTTCACCCTAGGCACAGCCAGAGCCTCCAAGGCTTTGTGTGCCCAGAAGTCAGAACTCAGATTCTGGCAGTGCCATCTGCAGCCAGTGGCACATCAAGGTGGAAAAGTGGAGACCTTGTCAGAGCAGCTAAACGGAAGCCAAGCACCCCAGGGACTGCCACACCCAGCAGGACTGGCAGGGCCACAGTGAGCTCCCCATCCATAGGGTCCTCTGCCCAACCTCCACCTCCTGGGTGAGCAGGTCCTCCTTGGGATCTGCTCTGCCCTCCTTCACCCTGGACTGTTTGTGGGTTATGGTCCTGCTTAGGAATAGAGTTCATCGTACTGTGCTCACAAGATGCCTCTGTGTGCCAATGACATAAATATATCCCAGTGTGGACATCTGAACCAGGCTTCCCAGCCCAACCCTTCTGAGAACCTTCAGACCTCCACTGCTATCCCACCCTGCCCAACCTTTGGCAAAGCCCACACTTTGGCTTTGCCAGCTCCTTGGATGCCCAGCCAAATCGTGGTGTTCCACCCTCCAGCAGTCCAGGACATGGGAAGTTTTTCCATTCTCATTTGGAACTTCTGGGACCAAACAACCTCCCTCCTCCTGGGGCTCTATCTTTCACTGCAACACAGTCTATGCTCTGCACTACAGCCAGTGTGCTCCTGTTCAAGTGATTACTGTGCCTTACAGTGACCCCAAACCTGCCTTTTCCCAGGGAAAGCAGTGCTAATACCCATGCAGCTCTTGAGGTTCTTGGGGTGAAGGCCCACAAGAGAATGAGTGTTCTGTTGAAACTGGAGTAGTTGGGGCTGGGGTTTTAGCTCAGCGGCATAAGTGCCTGCCTTGCAAGCGTGCGATTGTGAGTTCAATCCCTGGTACCGATAAAAAAAAAAAAAAGAAAGAAAGAAAGAAAGAAACTGGAGGAGTTGTTTGAAGAACTCGGTGGAAGACCCTTTCATTCTTGAATCCTTTTCATTTTAAGTGCAGTCCAAGGAGTTAAAGCTCTTGCATTCCATAATTTAATTCTGTACAGTCCATCAATCCATAACAATAGACAGGTATCAGTGTGGCTGGAAACTATCAAACGGTGTTACTGAGTTAAGTTTCTTTTATGATTAACACATTATTATGACACTGTTTCATATAACTCTAGTAATTGCACTTTCTTCAGCATGTTCAAGACCAAGGTGAGACCTGTATTAATTACAAACTTTTTTTTTATCTGTCAAGGTCAGTTAAGTCTCCTAGAGAAATGCCTTGGAACCACACACAGCACCTCTCAGTACTTCTGTCAGTGCCAACTTTACGGATGAGTCACGGCCATTGCATGAACAGATTGCCTTCTGTGAAAGCTTGGGAGACCTTCTCTCCTGATGACTCTCCTGAGGCACACTATACACCAGTGATCATTTTCCTCTGTGATGTCACAATCTTCTTGATCAGAAAATCAGGGACTCGCTGAGTATGTGGTTCTCTAATGTTCTGGGTTCTCATTGACCTCAGAAGGCTAGGGCCCAAATATTGATTGTCCTCTTAGCCCAAGTAGCTCTCTAATTTTTGACCTCTAAACCTCAGTTGTTGAACATCCAGAAGAAAAGACTGATAACAGTACAGTGTAGTACAGGCAGTAAGTTTGACATTATTATCTTATCCAAACATCAAACACCTTAGAACATAGAACCATTATTTTTTAGGAACCATGGATGTTTTAATATTTCAATACCTGTAGAATGTTAATAGTTATACATTTTACACAGAAAATTAGAAATCAAACAATATACATTATAGCATGACAATAATGATGACATTTTGTAACACACTTGAATTTCCATTTTGACATAAAATTTCCCCTTTTAACCAGTCGTCCCTATCTAAAACTTAAGAAGATTTTACCTAACTTATTGACCTTCAGTGGGATGTACATCTCATAAGTTTTTATTAAAGGCAAAGGTCTGAATCTGAAACAAAATTCTGTCACCATAAACAATCCTTGTTTTATATCTTGGAAGCCTTGTATATCTGGAAGCATGAATATATTAATAAACCTGAGGCTAATAACAATCATTTGTCATAGCCATGTGAAAACCTTGGTATTGGCATCTTTAAATCAACAACCTTATAGTCTAGAAAATATCATCTTGTGACAATCACCAATGTAAGCATATCACAATAATATATTTCTAAAACTTTAATTGGGGTGTCTTCCATAAGACCATACAGATCAGTGGGGTCTCCCATTAATGAACAAGAACTGGTTAATGTTACCAGGCAGCTGTTTTCTTATACATCAACTGGAGTCCTGTTCAATAATTTCCTCCTACTACAAAGGATTTCTTTTTTAATTATCTTAATAATAACTCTGATGACTTATGAAAAATTCAGTCATAACATTTAGCCCATTAATTTTTAACCTATGAGAGATTCTCAAGTCAATAATAATAATATACATTACATTTACACAACCATTTTTGGCAAGCTGGCAACCCAGGTGAAAACATTTTTTTTAATGTACGACCCAGATGAAACTTTGATTAAATTACTAAAAAATGCAAAACAAAGAAAAGAGAAAAATCATTGAACTAAAACAAAAAGGAGCAGCTGTTCACAGAATGGACAAATGACAAACACGAACGATCTCTACAGATTGAAACAGACATAGAAACAAGCACAATACTTGTTGGTGCCCACTAGAGCTCTCTAAGTTTGGGGGGGGCTATTTATATACTTGTACCATGCCCATTTGCTGAACTAGCTCACTTTTTATACCCTGTGTTCTCAGGCTGGAACACCTGTTCACCTACAGCACCTTACACCCTCAGGGTGTTTTTGAGGCACTCTGTGCCCCTGGGAACTCTTGTATGGACACTTGTGCTTTTGGCTTTTCATGCGTGAAGGATCACTAGCTCAGCAACTCTCAACAACAGCTCAACAGACTGGACAAACAGTCAAACAGATAACAGGCAGACTGATAAACATCTCACAAAATCAGAGTACATACAAATATATTTTATCCAAATTGCATTATATATATAATCTTTTTAAAGTTATAAAATGTGCAATTATAAATATACTAGTAAAAATTTATTGTAGGCAGTATCAGAGATATCTTGTAAAAGAATTTGGAAAGGACAAAATCTTGTCTATAACATATTTTTGTCATAGGACTAAGCATACTCCTATTATCTGTTTATGTCTTTGGTTTTATTTTTGGTTTCCATCCCTTGGGCATTCTGGGTCAATTGCTTCAACTGGCTCTAGGTCTGGTCTAATCCCATCCTTGTCTGTGAGCTGTAGAGTGGTCTCTGAGGCATCACAGTCATAGAACTAAGCATCTGCTTCTTGAGAGATGGAATCAGCCCCTTTCTGTGTCTGACTCCATGATATATCTGAACAGTATGCTCTGGCACCCAGATAGGCTGTTCAACATTCTCTGGAAAGACATATGCCTATCCTTGACACAAAATCAGTGCTGGACTGAGTGCTTTCATTGTTTAGTATGAAGACCTTTCTGAAGGACTCTCACTTCTTGCTTTTACCTGATCAAGTTGCCTTGCTACTGCTGTAGTTCCATCTTTAGTAGGATTTAAAACTTTTAACAGTACATACTTCCAAGTGAAGCCTATTATCAGGTATAAAAATAGTAGGTAAAATTTCCCTTTTCGTTTTTGTAATTAAATTTTGAGCAAGTTTAACAATTTTTAGCTTGTATTATGTATGAGGAACATTGTTTAACAATTGTTGGGTCTGTTTTGGGGTTAAATGGAACTGTTTTCATAAGACAAAAGCATTTTGATGGAAGGTAGCATGAGAAACAGAAGCCTATTGAACAGTGTCTAAGGGAGTAACAATTCATGGCAGTGGCAGACAGCTAACATAGCGAAACTTTCTCCCCCTACAGGCCATCCCCAGATGGGTGCAGCATTCAGGCTAACTCTGTACCCTGTTCTTACACAGTATAAGGATGTTTGCAAAGTGAGAATCCCAGCCTCCTCACCAAGTCACTCAGTCAAGATTCCTGAAGGCTGACACAGTGTATCAACCATTCCCATCCATGACTGTCACATTGCTTTAAACCAATTTCCAGCTTAAAAGACATGCTTATTTTTTATCATTTTACCACTTGAACATTTTTTTAATTTAAAGAGAAAAAAGAGAGGAAAAAAAAAACAAAGCAGTAAAAGGGTACAAGTAATACAGAATTTCAGGAAAAAAAATATACAGTAAGAAATACCACTTGAACATTTTAACAGATTATCAACCCTTAAGAAACAGTATTAAATCTATCAACATTATGTTACATTAGAATCATAACATTTCACCACTGCAGCTGAAACAAGCAACATTGTTTCTTCACCTCTTTTGTCTGGGCCAAGCTCCAGGCTCAGGGGTGCTCTTTGTTTCCCTCCCCTGCTTGAGATCTGGTGAGAAATAGTGTGAGGAGCAGGAAGCCACAGTTTCTCCCTGTTAAGTAATCCTTCAAAAGTCTGCAAAGGTCCTGATAGATTTCTATTGTTTTCTCTTTAGCCTTGCTCTAAGCTATTTTCCCATTTGCTCCCAAGTATGTAAATTTATAATTCCTTCTTCAGAAACAAACTCAAGAAATTTAACAAGCTGTGTAGTGTCAGTGTATTGAAAACTAAGATTTGATATAAGAAAGCAAAGAAGACCTAAATAAATGTAGAGTTAAACTGATCACAAATTTGAAGCAAGTACCCCAGAAATAAACACTTTTGAAAAACAATGGAGTTGGAGAATTTACACTAACAAATATTAAGACTTCCTTGTAGGAAGCCATAGTGAAAGTAAAATGCTTGAGCCAACCTATTACCAGCTCATGAAAGCTGAATATTCAACTTTTACAAGTTTTACATATTGGTGTTATTGTATTGGTTATATCAAATTATCTTTTATGAGAGTATTTTGTAAATAAAAATCAGCAAGCCACAAACCAGGACCACATTATCCCCCAACCACAAGAAGTTTGTCGTGCTGAGTAGGGCCATGCCATCTCAGGGAAGCTGTCTGAGCTGTGGCACTTCTACTCTGTGGTAGCACTGTGATAGGCCCCGCTGGAAGTTTTTCTGGAATAGATAGTCCTTCCACATCAATTTTAAATATACGTCAAGTGGCCCAATGATATCATCATCTACACTTTAGACAGATACTTGAAGGTTTTGTTGACAAGACAGGTGGTGGCTGTAGGGTGGTGGCACCCTACAGGTGCAACAGAGCAACTTGTGGCAGAATGTTCCTAACCCCACAATGAAAGCAAGTAGCTTTGTTCTTTTCCTTTCGTTTAGGCTATGGATTGATGACCTGAGTGATTATAATTTGTCCTTGATTATTGGAGATTCAAAGTTTAGTAAACAAGTAGATATGTTGAAAACCATCCATGTATTCCCCTGCCAGTCTGACTTCTTTTAGTGACAATTGCAAGAGAGATGCAAAAAGAGCTCTACTCCCTTGGATGTAGATGTTCCAACCTGTGATGCAGGTTTCCATCTGTCTGAGCTGAAAAGGTGGGGATAGCTGCTTGTGGCTCAATTAAAAATATTGGGTGTGGTAAATTCACAGCAAAGCTCCCCTCCTATGGGGAAGAGTTATCCATCTCTCCTTTATCTAATTGAGCAAGGTTATATAGCTTAAACTTTATTGAGTTTCTGTTACTCTGCCATCTCATTCCTATTCAGGACTTGATTTTAAAGTATTGCTCTGAGCCAATTTCCTTGTGGCTGTCTCAACAAGCTTATAATTATTAAGATACTTCTCAATCAAAAGCCACAAAAGAAATGTAAATACTGGAATCAAGCATACAACCAACACTTCCATGTACATTTGTGATTCTTTAGACTTTGTTTGTCCTATAATTATACCACTAATGAATAAATATACCTCCTCCCCCCCCCGCCATCAAGGGATTTCTCACAAGCCCATTTATAATTGTGGCTTTAGAGAATGTTTTATTTCACTACCCCAGTCTTTACATCTGATGAAGCCAGTATCAGCATACTCCAATGATGACTAATGACCTATATCAATGTACTTCTCCCCCTAGTTGCAAACAAATGAGAAGTGTCCCCTCACTCTCTATCTCTTACCCCACCCATGTTCAGGCACTATATGCTGCAACTCTTGCAGCCCTTGAGGTTCCTAGGGTGAAGGACCTTGAGAGGATGAGAAAATAAAGTGACAAAGCTGGGGTCAGGTGGAGCCCTTACTCTCCTGATGAGAGGAAAGGAACTGCTCAAACACTGTAGCACCTTTGTTTATACACTCCCAAGAAGAATGTCAATTTCAGCCCCTTGCCTTCCTGGAGCTGGAACAGCTTGTTTAGATGGCTTGTTTTAGGTTTTCTGTGTTTTCAGGGCTGGCCTTGCTTTAGCCCTGCACATGTTATCATTCTCCAGTTTAAACAGCTCCCTACATAGCAGTGTACTGTGAGTTTGCTCCATCAGTCTTCCACAAAATATGCATCCCAGGGCTTCTATTTAAGCATTTATCAGGGAAAACTTTTGAACAAACCCCTGAGAATGAAAGGGGAAGGGGGTAGAAAGAAAAGGAACCCTTTGAGGCAGCCCCAGCAAAGGCAGAGCTGACCCCTGAGGACCTCTAGACCCATACAGCCCAGAGACACCTAGAGCAGGTTTCAGGGACAGGCAGTAACATGCAGATCACATGTGGGAAGCAAGGTGTGACCAGGGGTTTCTAAGTGATGCCAAGCATCTGTGGGTGGGGGCTTTCCTCACTGATGGGTGAAATGCACAAGCTCCCACCAGACTCATGAAAAATCTGCCCTCTTCAACTGGATGCCCACACGGCAGAGCTGTCCTGTGACTGTCAGTCAGTCACAGTTGGGAACAGTGAGGATTGGCCATTGTCCAAGTCCCCTGCACAAGGACTATGGATGTGGCCTGTGGTCCAATTGTGAAGGATGTAGAGAATGGTTGTGGCCAGTGTCCACACACTGTGGGTTCTGGGAGGTGACTCAATGCCTGTCTGCTCTCTGTGGCAGGTGACCAGGAAACATTCAGAGCTTTCCCATTAGGCTGGCACCCCACAGGTGTCCTTCCCAGCTTACTCTGGCCATGCCAACATCTCTACCTCTAATTTCCCTGATGTATGGTGTGGGAAGTCCCTGCGGGAGACCAGAGCATTCCAGGACCAGATATTTGTCCTGGACACTATTGACTGTCCCCCTGAGGGCCCTAGAGCAAAGGGTCAAAGTGATGCTCTGTGGAGAATGCCCAGTACTCAGGGCTGCTACACAGTAGTGGCCACCAGTGCCACAAGGAAGACTGGAAGAGAGCATGTCCACCTTTATGAGGGGTAAGTTTCTATTGTCCTTGGGACTTAACACGCTCCAGTCCTGGACCTGGTTCTGAAGCACAGGGACAGAAGAGGACCAAAAGGATGGAGCACAAGGCAGCCATGACCCCAGCATCTGAGCCTGTTTCCCAGTACCTATCCCTCTGCTGTTCCCTGGAGGACAGAGGATGAGCTCAGGGACAGAGTGGGAGAAAGGAGAATTCAGGGCTTTGGTGCTCACCATGGATAACCTGAGAGGGAACAGAGCAGAGTGATGGTATCTCTCTTCAACCACTCTGGAACAGCTAGGGAATAGGCAGCACCTCCAGGCAGAGCTGCATACAGGAGCTGCCTCTGGGTGCTGAGGACAGGCCAGGGACAGAACAAACATAGAGGCGCGCTCACAGCAAAGTCCCTGGGGCTCACCAAAGCCACAACAGACAGAGGGAATAGGGTCCTGGGGTGTAGATGCCTTGGAAGGGACTATGAAGTGTGCCATCGATGTAGTCATTTCACCTTCAGAGTAAGGTCCCCATGCCAGCAGCCAGAAAACATCATGGAGCAAATGCCCGACATCAGTAGCATTGTAAGCCCACACTCAACATAGCCACTGTTACCTTCAGGTCTTGTAAGCATAATCAGACAAGTCCACATCATTGAAAACACCTTAAATCCCACCTACTCTTCTGTCCTTTGTACTTACTGGGTCACTGTCCTCCACAGCTTCCTGGGTGAAAGGCCATGGAGGTGGAGCTGCTGGACATGGATTCAGAGCCCATCCAAGGAATATCTGAGGACCAAACGACTTAGCTTTGGGAGCTGGGTCACCCATAAAGGCCTTACTTTGGTCCTGGACAGAGATAGGAAGGTCCGGCCCACTGTTAGCCTGGGCTGGGGAGACAGCCAAGCCTTGGAAAGTCTCTCTATGTCCCGCCCCCAACAAGGAGGGGTCAGCTAACCCAAATACTGGCTTGGATCCTGGACAGGAAGCTCCCAAATCTCCACCCTCTCTACCTCCCCATTTCCCGGAGAAATTTGATCTTCAGGAGTCCCACCCACTCAGTACCCTGCTAGTCCCTAACTTGCCTTTGGGCAGGAAAAAGAAACTTGTGAGAAATCGAAACTGCACTGCAGAGTTGGTCACAGAGAAGAGCCCACTGTCCAGACTCACAACGTGTCCTGCTTCAGCACCATGAACAACACGACCCAGACCTTCTTCTCCCAGGCCAATGTCAGCCTCTCCCCAAACTACGAGAGACTCCAGGAAGAACACGAGGTTTCTGTGCTTGGGGTCACCCATGGTCCGGTTCCCCCAACATCCACTGTGATCAACATCCGCAGCGACACTGCTGTGCCTGACCATGTGGTCTGGTCCCTCTTCAACACGATCTTCATGAACATGTGCTGCCTGGGCTTCATAGCCTTTGCCTACTCCATAAAGGTGAGTGTCCTGGGTGTGGAGCTGTGAGCCTCAGATTCACCCATCTGAACAGAATCTCTCTCTCTCTCTCTCTCTCTCTCTCTCTCTCTCTCTCTCTCTCTCTCTCGCTTGCTCGCTCTGTGTGTGTGTGTGTGTGTGTGTGTGTGTGTGTGTTTGCAAGATCAGTGTGGGCAATGGGCTGTGTGTGGTGTGCAGGAGCATGAGTGTGTGTTGAAGAATCTCCCAGGGCATCCTGGGGTCAATTTGCTCCCCTCCTACCCAGAGGAATTCTCCCCACTGCCCATTCCATAAACTTCCCATCCACACTGCAGACAGTGGCCCCCAGGCTCTCTGGGAGCTGCAAAGGGACTCACTGGGGACTTTGTCCCTGGGTTGAGCCACCAGCACTGGAGCCACCTAGAGTCAGAGTGTGAGAGGGATCATTTCTCACCTGAGTGAGGGCAGGAGGACCCTGTGTGAGCAGGGCGAGATTGGGGCCCCCATGTGAGCACCTTGGCTCTGCCTTGACTGTCAGGCCCTCACTCTCTGGTTTCCCCCAGTCTAGGGACAGGAAGATGGTGGGCGATGTGATCGGGGCCCAGAGCTACGCCTCCACTGCCAAGTGCCTGAACATCAGCGCCCTGGTCTTGAGCATCATTCTGGTCATCAGCCTCATCTTTGTGTTTGTCTTCACCTCTGTGCAGTTGTTCACATGATTCTCAGAGCCACTAGACCTGCAGTTTCCTTCCCTGTACACCAGTCATGGCCTTGGGCTGGGCCTTTCCTGAACTCCACAATCTGACCAGCTGTCCACCATTGGGATCAATAAAATGCATATTCCTACTGTGCTGTGACATCTCCTGGGGGAAGGGACATGGTTTGGTACTGAGATAAGTTTACCCTCGTGCCTCTGAGGGGAGCATGTTCTCAGTTTCTGGTCTCTGGGTGCCATGAATGACTGCATACCTGAGACCTACTGGTCCTCCTCAGATCCTTGGCCATTCAGCAGAGAGATACTGAGGCCAATCCACTCCAAGTCCAAGGTCTTCATCATCCAACCAAGGCCTGGACCCCCGAATCAGGGTGTCCACAGGCCAGGGGCACCAGCCAAGGTCCTGTCCCTCAGGGAAGCAGACACCACCAACCTAGCAGTGCTATGATCCCAGCCTCTATCCTGGCTCCATGTGGTCCTCTGGGAGCCCTGTGCTAAGGCGCTCCTGACTACCAGGACATGGGTGGGACTGGGCTGTCTGTACTTCTACTTCTGCGACCATCTAGGACCTCAGTAGTTGCTCCCTACTCCTTTCCCACAGCAGAGCCCTGATTCTGGGAGCCCTGTGGATGCTGCCTGGGTCACCCATGGGCATGTCTCAGACTCCAACCTCCTGGCCTCCCAGGAAGTGTCCTGATGAAAGGATGCACTCCTGACCTCTCTCTAGGCAGGGCTGACACAGCAGCTGGATGTGGAAATGTGACCTTGGTGATGGCTAGAAACCCACTCACACTCCCATCTGCATCCCTGGGACATCCCTGTTCTCTGTTGGTGGTCACAGCTCCCATGTGTCTTCCTCTCCTCTGGGTGCCCTGCAATGTGTGGCACCTGGAACAAGTGGCACCTGTCCCCTTGTCCCACAGCACGTCCCTCCTACATCTTGGGTTCTGGACCTACCCTAGGCATCATCCCTTGGAGTTGACTTCAGCCTCCTTCTTGCATCTCTGGGTCTCCTGGCCATGTCTGCAGCTCTCTGCCTCCTAAGCCAGTTGCAAAGTTAAATGTATGCAAGGTTCCCAAGGCAGGGGAGGTCATTGATGCCATGGGTGCTCAGGTGGACCCTAGAACCTTTGAGTTACCTAAGAGTCAGTTTCCAGAAAGGCTGAAGGCACAGAGTTGGGGCTCTGGTTCAAGAAGCATGTTCACCTCTTCATATCAGGACCCCAGGCTTTGCTGTATCTCTAACTGGCAGAGCAGATGTTTGGGCCAGCTTTGTATTGCTGGCACAAAATACCTGACTTGTACAACTTAAAGGAAGAAGAGTTTGTTTTACTGGCAGTTTTGGAGGTTTGAGCCCAGGCCACCAGACTCTGGGTGGAGGAAAGATGCTCAGCTACGGCACCTGGGAAGCAGAGAGCAGGATGAAAGCTCCAGAGAACCAGGGTCAGAGGCACACAGGGTCTCCCAGGCCACTTCCATGGTCACCTGGAACACTCAGAAATGTGCTGTACTAATTCCAAGGGGGCTCAAGCCCACCAAGCTGCCAGTCACCATGAGCTGTCACAGCAGACACAGCCTAAGCGCTGAAGCCCTGGAGTGATTCCATGGCCCTGTCCTCCCTTACCTGGCAGCAGGAGCACCCCTTCCTGGTCATTTGTGCCTCCTTAGTTAGGGGACTCTCCATGCTGTCCTCAGATAGAGGATGAGAATTCTAGCTGCTCAGTTAGAAGAATGCAGTCCTGGGCATTCCACACCAAGTTACCTGCAGTCTCCACTCCCAGGGTTTCCCATGACCATTTCCCAGTCATGTCCCTGCTGTGTACCTGTAAAATACATGATGAGATAGATACCAGCCAAGACCACAAGGCTTGGCTAAAAGCAACACGGTGTGGAATTTATTGTGCCTCAGTGCAGGCAGACCAATGGCAAAAAGGCTATCTGTAGGGAACAAAGAGATGCAGGGTTGTTTTGTTTTAAAGGGCTCGAAAGAAGGCAAGGAGCATTTGATGAGCAGATCTTAGTAAACATCAGTGGCCAAAGTTCTGTGGATGTCTTGTGCCTCAGTAGGAAAATCTCTGAGGCATCTGGTGTAAGTGTTTAAGTGTTTTCAGGTGTTCCAGTGCTTGGAAAATTCCATGCTCTATGCAGTCTCCTTTACAACATTGAGGTACCAGTGTTGAGCTGAAAACAATGCTTCTACTGGCAGAGAGGTTGGGTATTGGGAGACTTGTGCCCAAATTGAGCCTTACATTCTTATTTTTTTATTATTATAAACAAAAAGGGAAAAGAAGGAGAGGAGGAGGAGGAGGAGGAAGAGGAAGAAAAGAGATAGTCTTTCTTACGATTGCTTCCTGTATAGCACTTGGACTCAGTTGACAACCTAGAGAAAAGGAAACATTTGGGGAACTGTTTCAAATTGAGGGGAGGAGAAGAGGTTTCTAATCACTAATTTTCAATTAGTGATTGTTAGATACAGTCTTGTAAGAACTAGAACAGTCTGAAAAGACAGCTTGAACAAGGGAAGGAAGATTATACAGACAAGCACTCCTTTTAAGGAAAGGAGCTATAAGACCCATCTGGAGGATTTGTAAGGGGCCTGTAGAGAAGAAACTCATCTGTATGTTATATGAGGTGGGAGCCAGATGGGTGGAAAGAGAGTAAATCAAGGGCAAGGGCCTGACTGAAGTAAAGGTGAAGAGATACTGGTACCTTTCAAAAGTACCTCTCAAATATTGGACTGAGTAATGGGTAGTGGATAGCGGGCTAGAAGATAAAAGAATATATACATTGGGTGGGCACCACAGGGTGCAAAACAAAGACTATCAGGTTGATACTGCAGAGATTCTGTACTAATTTGTACATGCTGTCCACTTTTTAGACAAAGAGAACTGGACAATTAGAGAGTTGATAGGACCAAAAGATTGCACTGGAACAGTCAAGAGGTAAACTGGTTTAACTCCTCAGAGTCTGATCTGGGATAAGGTATTGTGGCTGGGAGGGATGGAATGATCTGGCTTTAGTAGATGAGAGATATTTGATTAGGAGCCAAGGAAGTATCCCAGATTCTAGGGTCCAGATCTGGGGAGGCAATAGGTGCTTTGGATGAGGCCAGAGAAGGTAAGATGAGAAAGGACTGAACTGACAGAAGGGGTCCTGTGAGTTGTTTAGGTATACTGATTCAGTGGGAAGTAAGTTTTGTAGTAAGTTGGCATGGGAAGATTAAAGAACTTTTCAAGTAAGTGATGATCTTGATTGTCTACTACGGTGATTAATATCGATCTAGATTTTATTAGATCAGATGTTACCATTTATTTCATCTCTTGGGGAGTATGTAGGCCTGATTTTGTGTTACTTATCTTTTTATTTATTTATTTATTTATTTATTTATTTATTTTGGTCTTTTTTCCCTTTTTATCGGTACCGGGGATCGAACTCACGACAGCCTGCTTGCAAGGCAGGCGCTTATGCCGCTGAGCTAAATCCCCAGCCCTTGTGTTACTTGTCTTAAGGCCTGGCTTTTAACTGATTTGTCTCTGGCCACAATTAGACAAGGCCAAAGAAACAGTTAAGTGACAATAACAATAAAAGGACCAAACAATAAAATCAACAAGACTATTATAATTTTTTTATTTTGAAAAGAATAAAACCAAATGAGGAAGAAAACAAAACTGAGTCATTCAAAACAAAGAATGGACATAATACAAGATTAAAACTACAATACGAGGTGATCTATAGTGGTTATTATCTTGTTATTATCTCTTGTTATCTTCAATAGAATTATCTATATCATTAGGCATAGTATAATTGAACATAGCAGTACGTAACACTATTAATAAAAACAAAACATTGGAGACATTATAGGACTTCAAAAACAGGTAATAGTCAAACAGAATGGGTATCCTAGTGAATTTTGTTGTCTTCAGAGTAGTTGCCTATACTCTCGGACTTGATGTTATCAAACATAACAGATTCAAGTAAAATCAGTCAAGACAAGACAGTTATCTCACAAACCACATTCAAATAAGATCAGACATAACAAGACAGTGTAAGCAATACAGGACTTCAGATTAAGTTAATAGGAAATTAAGGATGGTTACGGTAGTATATCCTGCTATTTTTGGAATAGCTAAGACTATTATAATTATAAATCACAAACATTTTACTAGGATGAGCCAGAATTAGCCTTCTATAAATAGGACAAGGAAAAGGCCTAGGGAATTTTAGAATCTGATATGGCCTTAACCTGTCATCTAACATCTTGAATAGCCATAGAGATATTAGAAAGATAGGAATGTCTACACAGCACTTAGCTTTTATAATGGCACAAGTACCCTGAAATTGTTTGAATGTTTAAATGTCATCTGGATTTTTGAAAGCAGTTTAACTTATTAATATTCTTTTTAACTTAGGAGAGGGAGAGACCAGTCAAGGCATCTTACAGTAAATAACTGCTATTTTGGAGAGCACATGCATAATAAAAGTTTATCTAATTCTTTGATTGTATTTTTCTGCTGGGTGTTTAAGATCAAGTTAAAATGAGACCTGTGTTAATTAAAATTGACCTCTCACTGTCTATCAAGATCATGTAAAGTCTCTTTTTTTCATTGTTGTATTTAGACTTTTTTAATAAAGATTAAAAGAAAATAAAACAACAGAACCAATATAGGATTTAGAAATGAGCTGATAAGAAATTAACAACAGTCGCTATACTACATATTGTTATCTTCAAAATAGTTGCTCAGATTATAAGATACAAGTGCAAAACATATCAAAAAATATAAGCACAGTTTCTTTCCCTGAATAAGGTCAGCAGTATAATTATCTTAACTATCTTGTGTGTGTATATATAATATTTTATATTTTTTCCTCCTTTCTTCTTTTCTCTTTTTCCCTCATCCCAGTTATACTTTCCTTTTGAGCAGTTTCATACCCTTTTACAATATCTATGGTGCCTTTTGGACCTTATTTAATCTTTCAGTTTCTTACACGAGGAAGACAATACAATGTTTATACATGTGAGTCTGATTTGAAGCTTTACTCTTGGAACCGTTCACAGAGCCTCTCAGCTCCTCTGTCAATGTCAGCTTCCAAAGATGAGTCACACTCTTGCTTGACAGATCTTTTTTCTAGGT